CAAAGTACAATTGCTCGCAATAAGCTAAAGCGATGCTTATCAAACGTTGCGAGTATGATCTGGTTTTATTGAACCTCTTCCGACTGAATCCTCTAACCGGTGACCCTCAAAAATCAAGCACCGGAATAGTCGTTGTGATTTTCCTCTTAATGTAAACAGAGCAACTTGTGCGTTCGTTGGTCCTATCTACCTCTACCTACGAGTACCCAAACGAAGACGTTGCCCTCCGTAGAGAGCGTATGTATTTGCACTTGACGATTGCAAGTTCAGTATCCGGCCAATTTCTGCCTCGGCACCTCAGCACATATTTCGCATTGGGTAAAGGCTTCCAGATTACGTACGTGTGTTCTTTAAAATACAAGAATCTTCATAGTAAGAATTTTTTGTAAACTCAGTTTATTGAATCGTATTATACCATTCAATTGTTCAATTGGATTTAATAAGATGAAATATGATTTTATTTTCGAAAACATGAGAAATTGTGATTCAATTTTCATAAAGTGGCAAATGACGAAATAAACATTTGGATATTTGTAAATATTCATATTTCAATACATGGAAGCAATTTATCAAAATTTCTTTCGACAGGTAACAAGCGCGAACCCGACACAGGACTTTTTAAAGATATCCAATGAATAAAAATAGATCAAGGGTCTTTTTTACTTGCCTGTTACAGTTTAATTGCTGAATTTGATCATAAAAATGTATAAGTCATTGAATCTGTGAGAGAAAGTCACGAGCAGCATAGAATCGAGTGGTTGGCATATTTACGCGCTCACAAGGACAAAATCGCACAGATGGCACAGAAGCTTGCAACTGTGATATTCGATTGCTCGATTCAGCGCTTCCACGGGCATCTTTGCTCCGTCGCTTCCGTTTCTCGTTGGAAGGGCTAATTTTTCCACGAAAATTCGGACGCAGCACGAGGCTTGACTGGTTTGCACGAAAGAGAATAGACTAAAAGAATTAGTCGCGATCAGCAATTCGGCTATATATTAGCCGCGAGGAGAAATACGCTGACGCAGCGTCAGACGAGCGCTACACGTTAGGGGCGGGTCGAGGCGTTTTCCACGCGTCTGCACTAGCTCGCTGGTACACTTGAGCTTCGCGTCGAGTTGTTGCTATTTGCAAATCGCGAATAGGCCGCGCGCAGTCCTTTTGCAAAGATTAATGGGCCAGAGCAGCTACTACGTGGACGGCCGGGCTTCTTCAGCTTGGCCCTCGACGCGGCAAACTGCAGCGAGCAGCAGCTAGCTCTCGTACTTACATCGGAATAAAGTTCAAAGTATCAGAGAGTGGCTTATCCGTGCTCGAGCCTGGATGTGGTGTGACGACGATTTCAAACGACGAGTCTCGGAGGCCGTCCCCGCAGCTCCCGAGATTCCTGTAACGATCCTCGTAAATACGAGCATCGTTGCGTGTAGCCGTTTCCCTCGTGGAATTATTACTGGTGCGCTCGTTTCGCTCGTTCGACGTTGGCTCTTTGCACTATTTCAGAGGCAGGGCCATAATGCTTTGACGCGCTCAACAATATAATATAGAGAAAATATAATATGTGCGCGATTCAACTCGACTATATGCAGACAGACCTCGAAATTTTCTCCATTCGAGAATACCGCCGCGGTAACACGAGAGAGTCTGTGTTGATTTCCAAAAACGCGGATCCAAAGCCAATTACACGAAATTACATCATCGTCAGCTGCCGCGCGCCGCAGAGGGAAAAGTCTTTTTATGGATATTAAGAATTCTCCTTCCATCTGGCAACTTGGTACTTTCTTTCAACAATTTCATCAGCATTATCGTGCCCGGCTCTTGTCTCTATCCGCCGCAGCGAAACTTTGACTTTACCCGCGACTTTCTCAAACTTTGTACATGCTCGCAGACACGGACGGACGATTTCTTTTTCTTGCATCTTTTTGCCTGGCTCTCTACACGCTTATGAATGTATACGCGTTGCAATATCGCTGAATGCCAAATTACCGTTGCGATATCGTATAATTGGATCGGAGGAAAGGCGAAGCTGAAAAATGAGGAAACGCGAAAAAAAGCCCTGCGCTTTGGCAGCTGCAGCTCGACAACGTGAGGTAGCGAGGCGCGCGAGAAAGACAAGAGACGGGCGCGCTGCAGCAAAGGGGGAACGTTGAAAATCGAGTTTGCATGCAGCAAAGTAGCGAGGCTTCAAGACTCATCTCTCAATTTCGTAATCCTTTGAAGCTTACCTCCTTAAACTCCGGGCTTCTTTCGCAGCTCTCTCTCTCTCTCTCTCTCTATATGCGCTTTGCTTTCGCCCCGGCGCAGCAGCAGCCTATTCATTATCTGTACGTGTATGGTTCAGAAACGTCAACACTCGACACTCGAAAAAGTATCGCAAACAGTAGCTTTTATGATCCAGCCTTCACCTGCTTGGATCGACGCGCGCCTCCTTTATTGCACTGGTGCTTTTTTTTGCAAATAAGCTAATTGAACTCTCGCTTCTCGGATAACTTTACTCGGCGTTAAAAATCCGCCAGCGCGGATAAAATTTCAAAGAGTTTCGCATAGCTTTGCTACTCTCGGGGGGCATGAAACATTCTGACGAGGAAAATGTCAATTAAAACATTTCGCAGGGATTTTTCGTCATTTTTCGTCGAGTTTTAATCTAAACTTCAACATAGCAACACGGCAACATAATAAAAGGCACTTTTATCAATTGTGTCACGAGCTTTCAATTGGAATTATTGTCGAAGCAACAAGGATCAAGAGATTGACCCGAAGCAGTACCAACAACATCGATGAATGCGAGCTTGGAATTCAGGAAAAGTCAATAAAACGATATGTAAGTATCGTAAATGAAGTTGTTTCCGGTGCAATTTGCTTTGTATAATATTAGCCGAGAAAGAATTACGTCAATGCTCGACTAAACATCATCCTTTTAAATTTGTAATCTTACTTGCTTTTGTCGGAGAAACCAAAATAATAGCGCACTAACAGAGAAGTTGAAAAAAAAGCAGCAAAGTCGAAAAGTTGGCTCTCAGGAGTTCGCGCAGGAAAAGAGACAAAAAAAGGCGAACAAATGCACGTTTTAGCGGGTTTACGCGGGAAAATACTGGGTCGCAGGTTTTTGGCCTCGGCTTAGGAGCTGCAAAGCTCGGGATGATTGGTCGATTGCGGAAGGCGCGCTCGAGCGATCATTAAATCCGTTCGATTCATTGAATGTTTCAAAGCTATTTCTCTGTATGTAGCAATTAATTATCGTTCCAAAAACTAATAACTCGTACGTGTTTATGTGTGTCTATGTGTGTGTTGGAGGGTGGCGAAAGGGAGGAAGGCAGCAGCCAGCCTCCCTCTCCCTCTCTTCTGGCTTTGAATGTTTGAATGTTTAGACGAAGCGTTGCAGGAAGGAAAGTTGCCTCTCTCGCGATAAACATATTACAGGCGAGGCCCGGGTGAGCTTCTGTAGCTCGAGCACAATTTAAGCTGTAATATCGATCGAATCAGATACTTATCTGGCGGAACAAACGAGCTCCTCTCGTCCGCACGTACGCGTAAATGGCGTAACTGTTGCAAAGTAGCTGAGTAGCTAGTAGCTCTACACAGCTCCCATAGCTATAGCGTATATCGGAAGGGTAATTTAGAGGTGCCTTGCCGTAGGGAAACTTGTCACTTAATGTACACGAGTAGAGTGAGCGGGTTGGAAGCTGGCTAGCTGTTGACAGGTAGACGCTGACCGCGACTGCACTCGGTGAAAATACTTCGAGGTAAAAATGGCCAGAACGACTGGCCGCGCGATCGATAGCCAGCCACGAGCTTTTCCTCAAAGGCATTTCTATAAAGGCCGGGGGAGTCGAGGCTATAGAGAGCGCGAAATCAAGACGCGGTGTGTATACTACTACTACTGGACATTACTGGACATCGGCGAAGCGGCTTGTAATAAAGTACGGTCGCCGGGTCGCGAAGCTCCACGAGACAGCTGCACGAGCTGTCCAATTATATTTTCCACAACGTTAACGGCTCGACGCGTCCTTCGAACTAAAGGTAGAACATTTTTAGCAACTTTTCATTTTCAAAGCCGTTAGAGAAAGAGAGAGAGAGAGGAGGAGGAAAAAGAAAATTATGTGCAGTACGCTGAGAAACGAGAGAGATTCGTGTATACGAAGGGGGGGGAAGAGAAAGCTCGAGATCCATTCGCTCGTACTTTGTAATGCTGCGGCTGGTCTACAGATCTGCTCGCAGTCAACGACAAGTACGTATATACAACTATATAGCTGTATATACGGAAAGCCGAGGAAATAAGGAGAGAGAGAGAGAGAAAAAGATTGTTTTGTCGTACTCGGGGAGTAGCGAACGGTATAGATCCCTTCGGCTGTCGTCTTATGTACAATCTTGCCTTTTCAATTTTAGTAGGCGACTTGTGTCTGGCGGTGCGCCGTCGAAGCATCTGTTCGTACGTACGTACGTACATACATACACATGCAGAGATTTGCCAAGTACGTGGAGAGGCAAATTGCAAGGGTGAGCGAGAGCGAAAGAGAAAATCCAACGCGCATCGGCGGGCCACATTGGCGCGTCAAAAATCAAAAGAAAAAAGAAAGGGCAAAGAGCGAGAGAGGCAAAAAAGGAAAAAGCTCGTCGCGCTGCGGATCGAACATTAAAATACACGCGCTTCCGTGACCGAGCTGCTGCTGCAGTGCATTTTTTTCGCTCCTCTCTCTCTCTCTCGTTTTGTGTTGTTTTCATTCGAGAAACGAGTAGTAGTAGTGGTAGTACATACAGAGGAGCTGCACGGGAGGAGGCGCGCAAGGCTTAATAATTCGCGCGCGCGGAAACTGAGACTCGGCTAGGGTGCAGCAGTTGCAGTTGTCTCGCAGAAGGGTGTACGAGAGAGCTGCTGCAGCTAGCGGGTGGCTGCGCGGGTGGTTGGGGGTAGGAGGGTAGCGGCGGCGGCGGCGGCGGCAGCAGCAGCGACGACGTGAGAGGTGGGAGTCATTTGGACCATCCACCCCCGCTGCTATGTACCAAGCTAGAGAGAGAGAGAGAGAAAGCTCCAGCTTAAGCCCAGCAGCCAGTGCCGCTGGTGCAGTCTCGGCCTGGCTTCCAGCCGGTGCTTATCGCTCTTTTCTCGCTTCGACTGTGCTCCCGCGAGGTCAGCGTATATTCGCGCACAGCAGCACACGCACCTACTGTAGTATACATACACATATAGACGAGATGTGTCTGTGGGGGCTGCTGGCACGAGTCGCAGCAGTGCAGCCGCTGAATTCATGTGCGCTCTAACGTGACCTAGCTCCGATATAATATCGCTGCGTAGGCGTTTATCGGCGAGCGCGTGTGCTCTCAGCCGACCTGTCTGCGTTAGCTCAGTGTCTCTCTCTCTCTCTCTCTCTTTCTTTTCTCAGTGGATGCGTGCGTGCGTGTGACTAATTTTCGTACTTCGATCCCCTCGTGGACCAGTTTTCCCCTTCCTCGCGATTTCTTTTTTCCTTTTCTTTGTACAGCACAATGTACTTGGCCGAGTGATATCGATTCTCGACGACGACTCGACTCGACTCGCCAATTCGGATAATGTACGTGCGTGCGGGCACGAGCTGAGTAGCAGCAGCAGCAGCAGCCGAGAAGCCGAGTGCGATTGCCGCCGCATCGTGCATTATAGCTGCAAGAGGCCGCCAAGCTGCGACCGAGGTAACTGACAATTTTTTATTATTATTATCATATCGTATATGTATTCGTTTGTAACGAGCTGCACATATAGTTGAGCGATCGAGAACTACCCTCGGCCCGTCGGTCGAACGAGCTTTAAAGCACCGCCGCAGCTGTATAACAGGCGTCAATCAAAACAAAAGCTCGACGCGTGCTCTCTCTTTGCGATGATGGATGCATGTGCAACTCGAGCGACAGAGAGATAGAGATTCGAGCCGCGGCACGAGCTAAGCGCGCACCTCGTGTGAACTATACAACTCCGATACATACGCGATACGAGTGCAATACGAATCAAACGTAGTGCCCACGCACCTGTCGATATCGAGCTTCGATGCTCGCTCTTTTTGCGAGCTTTTAATCTTTCCACGGAGCTTCCGTTTCAATCGAGCGACACGCGAGTTACTCGCTTTCCACGCGCTGCCTCGTGCCTTTGTTTTGCTTTTTGCCTCCCTCTCTCTTTTCACGCGTGCCCCCCGTCTTTTTCGGGGGACGAGCAGACCGAGAAAGAGCCTACATTCGCATTGTCGACACCGCGGCCAAAGATGCTTTTCAACGCACATACATAATGCAGTTGCTCGCTGGCTGCGCGACAACATACATGCACACACACACTCGTACACTCGTACACACGTGCTACACAGTAGAAAAAGTCAAGAGAGCGCAGCTGCCTCGCTTGTTATTCTTTGCGTTTCTTTTCGGCACTTCTTGGCCTAGTATTCCGCGACACTTTAACTTCGTTATGCTTTCGCACCTTTTCGGTATAACGAGTTCGAGGCCAATTATAAAAAAGTAAAAAAAAAAAAAAAACAAGATAAAATAATTTGAGGCGAGCCATGAAAATTGCAACTTTTTCGTGATTCATTGACGCGTGTCACGAGGTTCGTCGTCTACTTTGCCTCCGGCTTCTTATGTCAAAGGGACGTCGAGAGAAAAGGATATATATCTATAGGCAGCTCCGAATCTGCCGGAGCTTTGCGATCGGGCGACGGACTGGAAGGAGACTTTCATTCGATTTTTCTCGTGGCTGGGCTAATGCTCGATTTCTCGAGCTCCGCGCGTGTAGGATTGCAGACGTGTACGTTAACCGAAAATCGCAATCACGCGTTCGCGCCCGAATCAGCCAAGATAAAATAACACGGCGAATCGCGAGAGAAGCAACAAAAATCATCCGCGAGAGCCGCGCCGTCGATTCGACGTGTTATCTTTTTCCGTGCCACTGCTCCTCCATATTTACTCTTTTTCCTCGGCTTATCTCTATACGTGCATTTTCCTCCTCGCAGTATCAAGTCGAGCTAATTGTATGCATTGTGCTGCGAATAATGATTGCAGGGATCGCCGTCGATGGGACTGGATCGAGGATAATGGGCTTGACGGTGCTAGTCGACGTCTTGCTCGTGCTCATGCTACTGCAACAGCGACGCTTACTCGCCGAGCCCGTGAATCACAAAAGAACGGGTAAGTGGCCTCGTCAGCCGTCCTCGAGTAAACCGACTCATAAATCGCGCCGGAAACGACGACAGCTCGTTTGCCTTATTTATCTTATAAGGAAATTAGATGGGGTGAGACGGCCACGTATTTATTATATATTCCACATTTACTCGTGAAGGCCAGCTTGATTTTCATAAATGTTTATTGAGGCAGCGAATCGATAGCTATATCTCTTGTGTACATACGATAAATGTGATAAGATAAGCTGGCCTCGGATCGAAGAGTGCGGCCAAGCGCGATCAATCGAGCAAGCCGAGCTGGTCAAATTTCGGCAGGCGGCGCACCATAGCCTTGCGGTATGCCTTGCCCCGATAGGCCGGATTGTCGTAGGTGCCGTCGCTGCTCATCATCTCGTCCAAGCTCTTGACCTCGGACTTCTCGACGAGCACGAGGGGCAGCACCGTGAAGGCGGCCACCATGCCGTAGGTCGCTCGCTCGCGCATCATCCGCTGGAGCTCGGCCATGCTCGGGGCCCGAGTCCGGCAACCCGCCGCCTTCATTACCGCCTCGAGCTCCGCCAGGTAGGCCTCCAGTAGGGCCGACTCCTTGGCCAACAGCATGTCGTCGCTCAGGCTCGTGTTGAAAAAGTACTGCAGATCCACAGCTGGACTGCTGTACAGGCTGAGCTGGAAGTCCACCTGAGCGCGGGACGATCATTGACCCCCGATTGGAGACAACAAAAAAAAAGTAAAGATCAGAGCGATTCTTACATCGGCTGCACAAATTGTCCCAGTCGTCGGCAAGTTTTAATTATTTTCGGCGCTCCAGATCAGCGACGACAGTGGCAAAGAGAGCCGACTTGCAGCCTGCGAGTTTTCAACTTGAATGGGATTGTGCGCGCAAGAGAAAGAGACAGAGAGAGAGAGAGAGAGAAAGAGAGAGAGAGAAATAGAGAAAGAGAGCAAGAGAAAGAGGAAAACGACACGCATTGAATTGGAAATGAAATCTCGCCGTCGACGGCACACGGACGTAGCAAAAAAGAACGTCATCGACTGCGAGATTTTATCTCGAAACTTTTTCTTTCTCTCTCTCTCTCTCTCTCTTGCACAAACCGAACAAGACTCGAGAGCTGCATTACCCGTCTGCGTTATCAGTGCACACGTAGAGTATAATACCAGTGTGAGTAAGTGTGGCTCGAGCAACTCACGAAAATGTGTCCGATGGGCCGATTATTCGCGTCGTACTTGAAGAGCATATTGTTGACCCAGAAGTCACCGTGATTGATGACGTTGAATTCGTGGCTTCGGCAGTCCGAGACGCCACTGCCTCGCTCGTAGATGTCATCGGCGATCCGCCCGATCTTCTCGACTATCCGCTGGTCGAGCTCCGGCCAATTGGCGGCCTCTTGGGCCAGCGACCGGGCGCCCTGAGTAAAGAACTGCTTCACCTCGTCCGGCTGATTGACGAATATTCCCCGCCTGTACCAGTCCTTTTGCTCGGGCTCCTGCGAGCAGACACAAGTGCATCACTGAATTGTTCTATACTGCAGCTTGCAACATCATCGGCTGCCTACTCGGTACCTTTTCGCAGAGGGCGACCGAGCTCGCGTGAAAACGGGCCAATCCTTTGATGGCGAGCAGACAGTGAGGATAGTCGAGGCCCGACTCGCGATCGGCCATGCGAAAGCCCAGTGGCTGAAGGTCCTCGATCACCAGCATCGGTGGATTCTTCTTTTGCGTGTACAAGCCTCGGCCGTTGAGCTTCTGGCCCGGAGCGAGGAAGCCGTTCATTTTCGTCAGGCTGTCGGACATCATGCGTATCTCCGTGGAGAAGAGCGTCGACCTCGAGATCTGTATCGAGAAATTACGAGTTAATCTATTTGGTGTCGAAGAATATCAGCTTAAACGGACAAAAAGTACCATGTCCTTGTGAATGCCGTCGGTCAACGGCTCGGACTTGACGACGAGGCTCGTCTTCTTCTCTCGGCCTCCGCTGACGTATTCGAGGCTCACCCGGAACATGTCGCTGGTGTAATTGTCGCCCTTGTTCGTGGCCGGCCTGATGCTCAAGGCCTTGACCTCGATTGGAGCCTCGTGGGCCTCGAGCTGCCTCAGGAGCATCTCGCAGAAGGCCCGATCGACGATCCTCTCGATCTTGGCCAGAAGATTTTTCGCCTCCTGCTCGGCCGACGACATGACGATGGAAGTGAAGCTGTTTTCGTGGCGATCCGGGCCTTTTATATGAAAAACTGCGCTCGTATAAGCGTGCGAGGCGTGCAATCGTTGCCGCGTGCGCGCGGCTAGCTCGTCGAGTCGTCGCAGCTACTGCCTCGTCATTGACGCTCGTTTGCTTCTATTATACGCGTCCGAGTCGTTGGCTCGCGTGACTATACGGCTGCATCTGCACTGAGCACCGCGTTCACGGCTCGCACAGCTCGCAGCTCGCTAATTGAGCTTTTTCCGCGTTCATCCTGCGATACGACACGGCTTCGAGACGTCGTTTATTATTATTGCAACCATAACATCTATTTAAAGGCGATTGAATTCCGCATATTGCGATCTCGAGTGGAGCTTATCGCAGTCACAGCTAGAGTACGGCGCATAAGGTATAATTTCTGTCGTTGCGTCGCGTTGCGCAATAGATTATTCCCAGCCGGAAGATCAAGGCCTTACGCTTTTAGTTGACAAAAGGCCTCGAACGGATGACTCGTCGCACGATCGTCACGTAGTAGAATATATCCGGGCGAGCGTCGCGCGTTAAAACTCTGTGTTATTGCGAATAGTTGACACGTCGTCTTTGGAACTGGCGTACATCGCGCTCATATCGGCTAATTTGAGCTTTAAAGCTCGGCGTGGCGCGCCGAGACGAAAGTTTCGAGCTTGAATAGAGGCAAGATTAGCACGATATCTGCGTAGCTTACAGTATAGCTCTATATATCGCTGGATGCGACGCGGCCGCATCAAGAGCTCCTAGCTTGCAGCTCTGGCTCTCGAGTCTCGAGTATCGAGTCTCGAGCTCTCGGGCCGAGCCGTGCGCGATCGCTGTTATAAACCGCGGAAAACTTGTTTCACCTGCGATAGCCAACTTTCTCAATGGGCCGCTCGGCGCTCGGCCCCGCGCGCACGCATTATAAGCCATCGCTCCGCTATCGTCGCTTATGCTCGAGCTCCATTATTTTCCCTCTTACACGCTCATCTCCAGCTGGCTCATCTCCGCGCGATTGCGCCAACCGACGACGCTGCGAGCTAAAAATTACCCAAGCGATGATCGTCGAATGGCTATATGAACGATGGCGATTAGCTCGATTCTCCTTTGTAGGATCTTGTTTGGATTCCGCGAGATTCGGACTCGCTCGAGCGTAAAATGCACGAATGTACGACGTCGAAAGATCGATAAAAGACAATCGGCATCCAATGGTCTGATTATAGAAGCCGTGTACGCTGGCTGCCAAACCACTGCTCCGCTCGAGTTTCTCTCCGTGTGTGTGTGTACAGGAGGTATAGCTGCGCGCGTGCTAAAAGTCCTGCAAACAAAGCGCCGAAAGCACGTCTGGCTTCCGAATTCGCCGGGAGCGCAACTTCGAGGAGGGGAATTCGCGCGCTAACAAATGCCCCAGCGATATATCTAAATACATGGGCTAGCGTATAGGCGCGCACACACACGACATAGTTTCTGAGACAGAACCGGACGCGGAGCTGGACGTAGCTCGAGCCAGGGGGGAGGATGGGCCGAGATAACGACTTTGCTTGCCTTCGACACACGGCCGCCTCTGTAGAGATAGCCTCGCGCTGCGGAAAATAGAGCCTTCCCCGTCTATGCGAGTAGGTGACCGCACGCCGTTGTATCGGCCTTATTTTACCCACACACAGGCACACACGAGCGCGGAAAAGTTTGCTGGGAAGCTGCCGGGGGCTGCTTTCATTCGAGCGAGAGGACGTGGGAGAGAGAGAGAGAGAGAAAGAGAAATTACAATAATGTAAGTTTTTGGAAGTAGCTCGTCGCGTCGCGGCAAGTAAATCAAAGTCTGGAAATTTTTGGGGTCGACAAAGTTTGCTGATATCCTCTTTCGGTCTGTCTCTTACTCTCCCGAAGGATCTAAACGCTAAAGTCTAAAACGCACCGGGAAGCACGCAATTATCCTCCGAGTGCAAGAGAGAGAGAGAGAGAGAGAGTGCAGCGCATAGTTGTTAAATTGACTCGGGGAAACTTCTCTCGCAGCCTATGCACGCTCCCCCTCCCTTCGTCCCTCGCCTATTCCCGAGTATAAACGACTAGACGAAGACGAGCCGAAGAATAAGCAGCTAGAGGGATACAAGCGAGGGAGAAAAAAAAATCAAACTGCTGTGCTCGATTATAATAATAACAATTGCGATCTGCATGTTGTGCGACAGGAGGCTCGAGCCTGGCCAGCCTGGTGATGTCGGGCAGCAGCGCATCCGGCAGCAGCATCAGCAAAGCCAAATCGTCCTGGGACAAGCCGTACTTCGACGACGTGTCGCCGCGCAACGTCACGACGGTCGTCGGCCAGACAGCCGAGCTCAGCTGCCACGTTAAGCATCCAGCGGATCGCACGGTAAGTACTTCTCTCGTTTTATATGGCTCGGCAGCAGCAGCCGAAATCCCATCTAACGATCGGGAGCAGCTCCCGTTCGCGATGATTTATCGAATTCATACTAGTCGGGCCGCGACGCCTATCGGAGCCAAAGATCCACCGACTCGAACGCGTCTTATATATAGCCGCGCGGTCTACTTTAATTAAAGGCAGGCCGGGACGTTCGCGACTCGATTTTGCGTATAATCCATACGGCGGCTTATTGCTATTAATATTGGCGACTTAATTAATGCGTATGATAACGCGGGCTAGCTTTGGAGTTGGCGGCCGACGACATCTCTGTATACATAATTAAGTAGGTGCGGATGAGTTTGAGCGCAAGGATCCGCTAAAGACATCTCTTTAATCCAAAATCTAGTCAAGCCCGTGTACGGCACGATCCTCGTCTCTAGGTCGCAGCAACAGCAGCTCGAGCGTTGCGAGCTCGCTATAGTAGCCAGACGCAAGCAAAGCAAAAGGGAGTCTTCATCCATCGATTGACCGCGACTCTTTTTTTTTCGTAATCCGAATTCGTGCAGTCGTCGTATAATTACAGAGTGTAACGATTCGGAGCTATATAACGATACTGGTGCAGCCACGACGCCGCTCGGTCTCGATGCGAGGGCATTAATTGCGCACTTATTTCGTTGACTCGACTAGAAGTGCGTCGCTATAACGACGTCAACGTACAGCTCGTACGGCAGTGCAGCTGACATAGCTATACGTATCCCGCGTAAAAAAAATTCACGTTTCGCGAAACTTTTGCGAAACTTAAAATCCGCAAGTTGATCTAAACTTCATATGAACTTTGGGCCATGAGACTCGCCAAACTTTGATTTCGGTGACTTCAAGTAGTGCAAGTTTGGCGAAACTTTCGCGATAGTTTCGCGAAAGTTTAATTTTCATTTCAAGCATTAATAAATAATAAAAAAAATTATTCATTTCTTAGCTTCCAGTGTAGGCTTAATGAAGAATTAGATAAGCGATTAAAACTTCGCAGGCATTTAAAAGATTTTTTTGTGTTAAAGATTTTTTTGGGAGAGTTCGCGGGTAGGATTTGAACCTGTGTCCTTGAGAGTGGGAGTCGTGAACGGTACCAATTGAGCCATGTGCGTAATTTACATCGGTCACAAAAATAAGATATTTATGAAAAAGTTATTATTGAAGCTGAAAACCAATAAAAAGGCAAATCAGACATTCATTAATTGTAATTTATAGTAATTTTTTAGTTTTTTATAAATATTTACGATTTTTCATATAAACAATTTTTGTTCGGGACATGCTACACTACTCAACAAAAGTATTGAAAAAAAAGTTTCATCAAAATGTTGTCAATTTTCAAATGCTTCTATCTATCTTTGTCTATATTCATCGTATCGAGACGAACTTTTTTTTGATTTCTTGGAAAAAAGTTCCAAGTTACAAAAAGCAAAGTTTAGCGAGTTGTATGAACGAAAGTTCGTACGAAGTGTATATTAACTGTGCGGAATGCAGAAATTTACGCAAAATGTACATTAAGTTTCGCGA